CTCTGAAAGCTGAATGCTACTATGAACAGTAGCATCTGGCCATCTCGGAGGAAGCAACTGAGCGAGTGGCCCAGAATGAGGGGGAAATGGTCCTGAGCACGATGCTGGGCCCTGAACTCTGCAGACCGCCCAGCACAGGACTGCCGGGTCTTTCATGAATTGACTCATTCGTATTTGAAAAATCGCTAAGTTAAATGCAGGTTTTACATATGTGGCATTTAAACATTAAAGAACTCATAGTTTCAAGGTACACTCTACATTTGCCCTTGTATAAGCAAACCTTAAGCTTGGGGATAATTTCTGAATTTTTCATTTTTCTTTAAGTAGACAGGCATTTTAAGAATCCTGAGACCTGTTATTAAGCACGCTCTATCAACAAAAGCAAGCCCTTTGGCAAACCTGAATAGGATTATCCCTTAAAATTATTTAGAAAACTTAGGAGTTGGTATCTCACGCTTACTTGAATTTGAATTTCTTGGTCCGGTAAGATTACGTGCTTGTTTATATAACCTTGTTTTCAATTGCTCACTTTTCTATGGAGTCTGCCATTTATTTCCGAATTTGGAGACTCTCTGTATGCATTATAGCACAGGCATCATTAAAGGTCTATGTCTGTGACGTGACCTTGCATAGATACCTGTTACTTCATAGGTGTAGGGTCCGCCTGTTTATGAAGAAGCAAACGGGAAGGTCTGTGAGAATAACACTGGTGCATTTGGTTTTTCCCATTCCAACTTCAAAGCTGCTAAAGTTCCTAGTCTGACAATCCTCAATTGGTTATTGCAAGAGGAAATTTTACTTCTTCCCTCGGACAGTGTGAGACTGGGATAGGACAGCTTTCATAAGACAACTCACCCTAAGGGACTACACTGTGAGTTAAGTAACATTACCGCACATGTACAATTCTTTTCATTAACAATCAGCTTCCTTGTTCTGACCAAAGACTCTGTTGTCTTTGTAAAAAAGAACACTGTCTAGGTGGGGAGTGAGTCAGTCTTTGTCCTTTTCTGTTTTGTTCTAGTTTGAATCTTTGTCTATTTTAGACTTTTTCAGGGGCTGGAGGGATGACTCAGCTGTTAAAAGCATTGATTGCTCTTCCTGAGGACCCAAGTCTAGCTACCAGCACCCACATGGCAGCTATAACATCAGTTCCAGGAGACCCAGCAGCCTCTTCTGGCATCTGAGGGCACCAGAAATACAGGTGGTGCACATACATGCATGTAGGCAAAACACTCATACACATAAAAGATAGATGGATGGATAGACAGACAGACAGACAGACAGATAGTTCGTTCTCTGGGTCTTGGTTTCCTGATCTTAGATTTGTAAGCTAAAAATACAGGATGTTACGCAGTATTTGGGATGGGCTTTTACTAAAAATGTATCCACTTGTTTATCTAAAACTGAACTGACCAGCCCTGATGTTTATTTATCCTCTCAATCTGACTGAACACAAGACCAAGAAAACTGGACCACTCTGAAGAGCAGTTGGGGTTTCAAGTATGGGGAGTCTACCAAAGGAGAACATTCTGGAATCAAGGTGAAGGAAATGCTGGTGAGATCAGCATTGATCGATCTGGGCCTCTAGGGTCCTAGAGACATAGTTAGAAGGTAAAGAAGACATGCAGGTGGAATCAGTCAAGGTGTGATACCGCCCACCTCTGACCTTTCTGGAAGGCGCAGTAAGGAATTGTAAATCTTTCCTGCTGGCCTAGGTTTAGGTCTTTTGTCTCTCAGCATGAGATTCTTGGGGGAATTCCAGCTTTGTGGGGTCCATTGTTTCAATAGTCTGTTAGTCAGATGAAAGATAAAAGTGTCTCTGCCAGGCCAGTTAGACTAGCAGTGACTTCCAGGACTCGGTTTTTTTAGGATAGCTCACTCTATCTATGCGCAGACTTGGTTTTGTTTTCCTGGCCACAGAGTTCCCATTGGTGCAAGTGATTAGGATTTCAGTCACTGTCAACTCAGTTCACTGCCTGAGTTAGAAGTGGGGTTGGGTCTCACAGCTGTCTTCGGTTCATACCTTTACAGTCCGTCACTGCCAACCAGGTTTAACAGGGGAAGTTACAGCTAAACAACATTCTAGCTTTATGATGATACCTATGAAGAAAGATCACAGCCAGGTACGGTAATGATCCCACACTTCAGAGGCCCAGGCAGCAGGATGGCGAGTTCTAGGCCTTCTGTGCTGCATATTGAGACCCTACCTCAGAGAAAATGATAGGAAAAGAAAGGCCAATGAAACAGAACAGAGTCCTTCCATGTGGATATACAGACATAAATCATAAATCTACAAGGTAACAGAATTATATTTTCAAAAAGTAAACAATATTGGCAAATGCTCAAAGTGAAACTGAAGTACCCAGAGATAGAACAAATCAGAGAAGATTTTCTGCTGGATGAAATTTGGCAAGCTTCTGCAAAACAAAAATGGTTATTGAAGGTGGATGGGATTTGGGCAGGCCATAAGACATTAGAAAAAAGGAAAAAGAATAGGGGCACCCAAGAGACACCAGGGGTCTCCAAAGCAGTACTCTCCTTCTCTGGAGGCGGTATTGACCAGGCCTGGGACGCTGGGCAGCCCCAACACCCTGGTGCTTCTGCAGAGAGGACTGGCAGTGACCATCGTTTAGAATACTGCAGTAGTTTTAAACTTGAACATTTCAAACTCGTGGATGAGCTGAAAGATTGGCACGATAGAACCTGTACCCCACCATCCTGTGCAGTCACTGCTAGCATGACCCTCACACTCTAAGTCTATCAGCACCTTCCATCCAAACATGGTCTAAGAAGAATCTACACCACCACTCAACCAGTGAACAATTCCTAAGCTGCTAATTGTCAATACCACTTATATCCAGATCACAATAAAATCTCAGCTGTTGACTTGAGCTCTCTCTGTAGCTAATTTCCTTAAATCAACATTCAAATCAGGGTCATGCAGTGACTGTACTTGATTGCTATGACTCTTGAGTCTGGTTTAACTTTGAACAGTTCCTCTTATTTTTTTTCCTCTTTCCTTCTTCCTTCACTCTTTTCTTGCTTTCAAGACCAAGTGATTGCCTTGTAGAATTTCTTCATCTGGATTAAAAAACAAAAACAATAACAACAGCCTCCCCAAAATGAAGTCCCACCCTCATTGCTTCCTTTCAGTGTTACAACTTCTTCTTCTAGACTCTTTATTCCACAAGAATCTCTTTCCCAGCTTGCCTAACAGTTTGCTTACACTCTGTGGTCCTAGCCTACTTGTAACCCTTGCACTCGCCAGATGTTCTCATTTGGGTCAACTATGGCTCACTCCATGTAAACTGGAAAGCTAGGTCTGAAAGCTAACCAGTCTGAAAGTAAGCCTTGGCATCAGAGTCCTTCATAAGTGAGATAGGGCACTTAGCTTTGACTCACATCAGGAAACACTGTGGATAGGCTAGACTTGATTATATAATGAAGGTACTAACCCCCAGATCTCAGCTCTGGACACCTCAGCTCTGTAATTGGCCGGTAGTCTCTAGGACGGACTTTGGTATGTTGTGCTATAATCGGGATATGGTGTTCTCACAAATATTTCCCGTACCTGCCTTGGTATTAGTTGATGGTCTTCAGCTTAATCCGTTTCTCATTTGAGATTGTGCAATGGTGGTTTTACTGGGAAGGAAATTCAAGTCCTTTGTGTACCCTGGACACGCATGTTACTACTGAGTCTTATCCCTGGTCCCCTCCACCCCTTTTCCTTTTTTCCTTTTCTTTTCCTTCTCGTTTTAAAATTCTTTTAAAGATTTATTTGTTTTGTTTTGTTTATATGAGTGTTTTGCTTGTGTGTATGTATGTATGCCACATGTATACATTGCCCTCAGAGGTTAAAGAGGACATCACATCCCCTGGAACTGGGACTGTGAACGGTGAGTCATGTGTGGGTGATCCACCTGAGTTCTCTGCAGAGCAACAAGTGCCCTTAACCACTGAGCCTTCTCTCCAGCCCACTTCTTTCTTTCTTTTAAAACAAATTCTCACCATATAAACCCAGTTTGTCTTGAAATTGCTCTGTAGGACAGGGTGGCCTTAAACTCACAGAGACCCACCTGCCTCTGCAATCTGAGTGCTCAGATTGAAGATGTGCACCACCAAGCAGGGCACACTGACCCTCTGTACTTTCCGTTTTGATACAACATTTCATTGACTTGCCCAGGCTGACTCTGAACTCCATAGCTCGGGTAGGTCTTAAGCTTGCCATCCCCTTGCCTCAGCCTACCAAGATTGCAGGTCTGTTCCGTCAAGCTCCTCTGCGATTTTCTTATTCTGCCATTTATTCTGTATTGATTAATTAACTTTTTTCTATAAAACTTGGGGAAGAATTTTGGGGCCTTCTTAAAATGCTGGAAAAGAGGCTTTATTCTTTTCAAAATTCCAAACAATCTAGTTTTATAAATTTCTAGCTATTAGAATGAATGAAATAATTGCCTGTAATGTTAGTAAATTCTTTTCTAAAGCTTTACTATTTTGAACGAGAGGATATTTTATTGATTGATGGTCTAAAGTAAAGCAGTCACTTACTCTTTTTGATATTCAGATTGTCTCAAAGGTATCTACTGGACCCTCCTTGCAGTGTCTGTCCTCACTGGGCAGCTCAGTGAGGGAGGAGAGGCAAAGACAAGAAAGCAAGCGTATCTTCCTCGTCCTTACCCTGGTCTGAAGTCAGCCTTTGCTTCAGCAGAACCCCGCCTCTTTTTAATGGGCAGTCTGCCTTCTTCTCGATGTGATGTAATTGAAACATTTTGTTTATGTGTCTGACATCTGGAATAACATTGCCCTCATAGCCTTTTAGTGTTCTGTGCAGGTTGATCTTCTTTATTAAATTTAGCTTCAAGTTTTATGTTCTATGCTTTTATTTTTTTCATTCTTACACTATGAATATTAATTTCTACCAATTTTATGCAATATATTAAAATTTTCCCTTCAAAAGTCACACTTGGCCAGTATACACATACACACACACAGAGCTGAAATCAGAGAGAATGACATTTTAATGGTGCTGACTCACCCTATCCTCCACAGGGAGCCATGACATGAAGACTTCCTTATTTGCTAGCCAGTATCTACTTGGAAATTTCTTTTTGCCTTTTTCTCTTTTGAGACCCTGTCTTGCTATGCAACCAGAGCTAGCCCCAAAGTTGTGGTTCTCCTGCACCCACCTCTCATATACTGACGTTACAGACTCACACACAAACATGTCCTATTATTTGGAGGCCTTTTGAATCCAGGATGTTAATCAACAGCGGCAGCCTCTGCTGCTGATGCCCTCCTGGCAGGTAGAGCCTCGGTGTGTAGAGGCCACTAGCCTTATCTCAGCTCCCCATGGCTTTCACACACCCATCTCGCCAGAGAACTCTGCCTATCCACCATTGCCTGCTATCTGACTGAGTGACTCCTGGGTTGTCTGGTTCTCCAAAGTATCTGCATCCCACGCTTGTTTCTAGTTTGCTAGTTTGGGGTAGTGGCTGGACCACACGAGTGGTGAGAATCAAGGAGTGTGGTGTCTGATGGGCATTTTGATCCAGAGGTGGTCACTCGCTGGCCAGTAGTGAGGCATAACATGGGCCATCAACGAGAGCATCATTGAGGGGTGGCAAAGGCGGTTGCACTTGGTTCCAGTAGAACAGAAACTCCTGCCTGTGAAGGCCTAAAGAAGGGTCTGCTGCTGGAAGCCAGAGTGTGACGGTGAAGGTGGCTACGGGAAACAGCAAGCAGTTCGTTTATAATCCCGTGAAGGCTCAGGCTGGAGGGAAAGCAGGCCAAGGCAGAACTGTCACCGGAGACTCGAGACGGAGAGGCTGAGGGCTGAAGGCAAGGGAGGAGATAAAGATGACCCAGAATCTGAAAGTTGTCCAGCCCAATGTCAGGCTGCTAGAATGTTCTTTCCAACATGCTCTTGAACCAATGCAATGAATAAAGGCTATTTTCATATGGGCCTTTCTCTTAACTAATTAAACGCTGCACCCTAGGTCTGTCTGAGAGACAGAATGTTGAGTTTTCTGAACGGATAAAATAGAGGACCGATTTGACTATAGGAAGTGAAGCTTAAGCTTCAAGGGACTTTAATCTTCTGCTCAAGCCACACCCATTGTCCCCTTCTTTCTTCTTCCTTCTTTCCTTTCCCACCACAGCAGAAGAGCACAGGTCAGCAGCTGTCAGCAGCTGCCACCCTTCCCTTTCTGTCTTTGCCCTCCCCGTCCTTTTTCGATATTTGCTTCCACTGCCTCGCCCAGGCTCCCTAGCTGCCTCCCTCGCCTTCCTTACCTACTATGCCCTTGGCTGGGATGCTGAGAAGGCCAAGAATGGCTGACCAGGGGCACGTTCCTGCCACAGGAACTTGTGTGTGTCAGAATGCAGGCAGGTCTGCTGGTGCTGTGGGGTGAACCTGCTGTTTCTGCTCCCAGGGCTGACTGGAAAGCAAAAGTGAATGTATGGTTTGGGGGCAAAGGGCAGGAACTCGGGCATCAGGACAGACGAAGTAGCCTTCAGCAGTAATTCCTTCTTGATTTTCACATCACAAAAGAGAAAGGACAATGACCTTAAAGGGGTCACGGATCTGCCTAGAACCAGACTGCACAGTACCAACACCACACGTTGCCTGTTTGCCTGAAGGGGCCCCAGCACGGAAATGCAGCCTGAGGACAAAGTGCCCGAGCAGATTGACTGAACTACAGCTGCCATGCCGGGGCCCCTGAGGACTTGGGCTCCCACCTAGCCTCTCTTTGAGAAGATGACTGAAAAAAGGAGAACCCAAGGCCTCTCCCCTGGAAACTACAGTGAAGTACCACAGGTGCAAACCGTTTTTAGACGCCTCACCACTGTTCAGATGGCGCCACACAAGTCTGGGCTCTCCTTGAATCCCCTCTCCCGTCCTCTGAGAGTAGATGAAGTCAGGGAGACTAAAGGGCACTCCAGTCTGTGGTTGATGCTGGGACAGAGCCTTCTATCTGCAGCGCAGATCTCTCTCGCCATTGGAAAGCCCTTTTGATGGGCAGTTTAGACTGTAAACAGCCTTGGGCTGAGTCCTAGCTCCTCTGGGGAGGAAGGACACCACTTTGAACCTGCTGTTTAGCCTGAAAAATCAACTCTTCATATGAAAAACACATGTGACTGGAGCGCAGGACACACAGAAAGCGACCAATAAACACGTTGTTGCATTGTTACGGCGAGCAAGAGCAAGCATCCAAGACTGAACAGAGCTGTGCGGGCCTCACTCCAAGCTCCCTTACCGTCTGTCTTCTCATTCTCGAACTTCAGTCTCCCACGGAGCTCATTTGGGCTTAGGCAGAATGTCTTTCCTCAATAATCCCAGATCTCTATTATTCCTGCCAGTCAATGCCCATGAGAGAGATTTGAATAATAACAATAAAATACTAACATCCATCACTCCACTTAAGATATAGGACATAGGGACTGGAAGAATAGCTCAGCTGGTGAAATGCTTGCTGTTGGAGGTGTGAAGGCCTGAGTTCTGGTGGCATACACTTGCTATCCTAGGTCCGGGAAAATAGACAGGCAGAAGGAATTCTGGGACTTGATGGTCAACCAGTCAAGCCTAATAGCTGAGCTCCATGTCTTAGTGAGGAACCTTGTCTCAGAAAACTAGGTGGACAGCACCTGAGGAACAAGACCTAACGTTTCCTTGGTCTACACACACACACACACACACACACACACACACACACTCACTCACTCACTCACCCTCCAGTCCCAAACACACACAAAAGAAAGAAGATGTTACCCCTGCCTGGAAGCTGTGTGCGCCCTCTCACCCCAGTTTCATTTTCTGAAAATTATTCACCTGAATTTTCTGTATTCCCTTCATTGATGTTATCATACATGCATGAATTTTCAATACAATTTGTTGTGTCTAACCTTAATATAAATAGAACCATACAACATTGGTCTCTTTTATTTTTAATGTATTTTAAACTAAAATACAGTTGTATCATTTTCTCCTTCCCCTTCCTCCCTCTAATCCCTCCCATTTTCCTCCTGTCTTCCTCTCAAATTTATGGTTTCTTTTTCTTTGATTATTGCTTCCATATATGTAACTGTGTATATATACACAATTACATAAGTACAACTTGCTGAGTCTGTTCCTGTTGTTTGTATGTATTATGTTGTTGTGTTGTATGTAAATAATTTCAGAATTTGACTGCTTCGTATTGGAGGCTCAGTTAGGGGGCTCGCCCCTAGATGAGGTTAATTTTCCCTGTCTCAGAAGTCATTAATTAGTTGCCTACAGTCCTTTGTCTAGGGGAGGGACTCCATGGGAGTTTCTGCTGCTGCATTTAGAAAGTCTGTTGATATTCCCACCGTATGGTCTTGTTCAGACAGCCATTTCTAGGAGACATCAATTCTTTTTGAAAGTCAACTTTTACTTATATGTGTGCTCACACGCTCTACTGCCCACACGTGGAGGTCAGAAGCCACTCGCAGGCGTTGGTTCATCCTCTCTACCACGTGGGAACTGGAGACTAAATTCAGGAGTCAGTCTCGTGGCGAGAGCCTTTACCCATTGAGCCATCCTGTAGGCCTATTCATTTGTTTCTTCAGTGTCTTTATTTCATATATTATTATTATTATTATTATTATCATTATCATCATCATCATCATATCATCATCATCATTCCTAGGCCTGGGGAGATGGCTCAGTTCCTGAGAGAACTGCCTGCTCTTCCAGAGGACCTGGATTGATTCCTAACACTCACGTGGAGCCTCACAAATGTCTGTAACTGCAGTCCCAGGGAATCCAGTGCTTTCTGCCCCCATTAGGCACAAAGGATTCAGGTTACGTGTGTAGACACACATGTAGGCAAAGCGCTAATAGACATAAAATAATAATAAAATACTTTTAAAGAGAAAAATATTATTTTTGCTATTTATCCATAGTGATACAGCTGGAGTTTACTGATTTCCACCATCAGATAGTATTCGTTTATGTGAGAATGATACAATTCATTCCTTATTCTCCTGTTGATGAACAGCTGGGCCGTTTCCAGAGCTGGCTTTTGCTTTTCCTGTTAGAACACCGCTGCCAGCTGGTGCTCAGCGGTGCAGCCCTTGCACGGCACGCACATGGCCCTGCAGAGGGGGTGCAGTAGCACGTCACTGGACATTTGTGCATGGGACCTTGGTGCACCACTTAGAAATGTCTTACAGACCCATGGCCTACGCTGTCCCAAATAGGTCCCACCACCAAACTTACTAGATAATACCAAACTCTCTCCAAAGCGATTCTGCTTCTACTTCTCTCAGCACATGAATCGCACGTTTTAAAAGGGCTGTCCCTGGGATTTGTCACGCTCTCCATGCCTGCTGTCATATCTGGGCCCAAACGCCCATCATGGCCTGCGCCCCGGGCTTCTGCTCCGTTAACGAGCCCACCGCTAAGATTTGGTGTCATTGGTTTCCCGTTCTTGCACAGCCCTTCTGGGCAAGCAGTGACGGCTGTGAAGCCATGGTGGCAGGTCTGGAACCTCGGACTCTGACACCACACACGCTACACATCACATGGGCAGAACGTCCAGCCTGGAAAAGCAGATTCTCGTTTTCATCGTGTCAGACTCCATACAGTAAAAAGAAGAAAGACAAGCGGCTGTAAAAAGAAAAAGCAGAAGTGTAACCCTTGCCCCCGTCTCTTTCTCTGGGGAAATAAGAAGCTGCCAGACCAGGTGCTGAGCAGAGTTGGTGGAGAGGAAAGTTGGGGGGCCAAGGGGGAGCATTTTACAATAATTCAGAAGGAACCAGAGACTGTTGTCATGCCACTGGCCAAACCCTCCTGACCCTTGATGACATCATTCATGTTTTTCTCCTGCTTCTTTCCACTAAGAACTGGGGAGGGGAGAGGCAGGGAACTAGATCCCCTCCCTTCAGGATATACTGCAAGAAAACTGAGCAGCCTGGTTAGGGCAAGCCAACAGCTACAGGAAACGAGCTCTGGCGTTTTTCTCATGATGATCTATTCTCGGGCAGAAGGACCCCACCCTTTATCAACTCTGGAGCATCAGCTCCTGAACATCCCAAGGAATGGGAAATACAGAGAGCACGCATGAATGTGAAGAGGCAAGGGACCCAGGGGACGGAAGAACTTGGGTTTGAACAAAGAAATCCATTTCTGCTCTCCATCTCTGGTCCTCCCTCCTCTGTCTGGTCCTCCTTCCCCGTCTCTCTTCAGTCAGACGTTGGGGCTATAACAGGAGAGATAAATGAAAGTCCTCCACTTTGTCCCCATGCACATGTTTTAGACCCAGGCTGATGGCCCTTGGATTATGTGAGGCACATAGCCTCCCTCACAAAGGTGATCAGGACTTAGCAGGTGGCAGGAGCATGGGTGGGGTGCCCAGGTACAACAGGAAGAAAGAGCGTTCCAGCTCACTTTCTCACCCTTGACCCTAGACTGCGTTCTGCCTGTTAACTCACAGATAAACCAGAAGCCTGCGGAGTAGGCAGAGGAGGTGGGGGGTGAACTGGGGAGTCTTGAGGAGGGCAGCAGAGCTGTCTGGATGGGGTCAACAGCCGCAGGTGAGGTATCTCACTGTCCTTAGGATACCCCACATCTGACATATCACTTGGGTCTGAGAGGACCCGTGTCTGAAGTGAGGAGGGGAGTTAGGAAGCATCTGCCTGGTGTCATGTGATAGAAAATCACTGGGCTTGTTCTCAGCTGACTTGGGGGTGCATTCTGATATTATTTGAAATCATTAAACTCTCAGCAAGGCAACTCCTGACTCCACACAGTGCAGAATGGAAATACTTTGTCCGTCCTGGAGTCACCTATCTCTACCCCTAAGTGACACTGACCTTGCACAGTTCGAGAAGAAGAGACCCTATGTCTCTGAGTAAATGACCACTGTCATGACCTTGCCACCCAGCTGTATGAGGAAGGAGCACCATGAACAGCCCACTTGGTGTCTTAGTTCTCTGAGCAGAAGAGGCTAATCCACGGCTTCATGCACACAAGCAGAAAGCCCCCAAGAGTACTCCAGATGTACTTGACTATTCAGCTTTTCCTTGTACCTGGGAAGTTGCAGGTGACACTGGCTATCTGCTGAAAAAAGGGACCGCCTAAGATTTGGGACAGACAGGAAGTAGTGTCCAGCCAGAAGCTTATTCCAACCTGGCAACAAACCTGGTCATAAAAGAGAGGTGCTGGAAAGGGATTTGCATGCCCAATAAGGTTTCGCTACTGGAGTTTACACAACGCGCAGTAATCAGCCAAGCTGGCTGACTCCCTGGATCACATGATCTCGTAGAAACATGAAACTTGACGATGCGCTCCAGCGAGTTTTACTTCCCCTGTGCAGGGGTGTTTGCCAGCAGCCTGCGGTTACTCTCAGAAGTCAGTTCCAGTGGCTTCAGCCCTTGAGCCCAGTGCCCTACCATGCTGCTCCCTA